CCTGGTACCAACAGAGAGATGGAGAAAAGCCTAAACTGCTCATTTACCGGACTAGCAGCAGAGCATCAGGGACTCCAAGTCGTTTTACAGGCAGTGGATCAAACTCTGACTTCACTCTGTCCATCAGTGGAGTTCAGGCTGAAGATGCTGCAGTTTATTACTGTCAGAGTTTCCATGTTATCAACAGTCAGCATGTGTTCACACAGTGAAAAACAGTCGTACAAAAACCTCCCTAAGTCAGACTGAACTGAAACTGAACTGGCAGCTGCAGACTGAAACAGTTCACTGAGGACACACACAAAAGTAACTACCAAGAATATTCTAAGTATACTTATATTTTATAATCATTTTACAAACACAATCAAATACATTAACAAGAGGCTGATGAATCAGTTTCAGTTTATTTTGGTCAAATATTCCATATATATTTTAATGAATTGTTATTTTGGTTGACTGTTAGTTAATGGATATTTTTAAATGATAGACTAATATACTTTTTATTTGATGTTTGATATTTGGAAATCAATGCGCATATACAGCCTCACATCATCATTTGTTAGCTAATTTTGATAACTTCCCTTACAAAGACTTCACTCTGATCATCAGTGGAATTCAGGCTGAAGATGCTGCAGTTTATTACTGTCAGAGTTTCCACTACATCAACAGTCAGTGGCTGTTCACACAGTGAAAAACAGCCAAACAAGACCTCCTTCCTTCAAAATGAACTGAGACTGAACTGTGGCTTTAGTTGAAAGCTTTGACAGAAAGACAAATGGTTCACCAAGCACACACACACGTATACTTGTGATCTCTGACTCTGGATAATTTTTCATTAGTATAATGCATTTCTTAACCTCACTCTAACCCTCTATAATCTTTTATTTTGGATAAAGCAGGTCCTCCTTATATCTTCATTATCAGAAACAAAAAAAAGAGTCCACATTCTCTCTCTGTGTCATTTTAAAGTTGTTTAATAAAATCTTTAATAATGGACGAATAACATAGGTCGAATAATATCATTATTCTAGATGTTTTTTTACAAAATATACCCTTAAGATTTGTTTTCACTTTTGGGTATTTTGTGAAAAGATTCTAATATGT